CACACACTCTCTGTCTATGATCACACCTGTGAGCGCATCACATTAGTGTTACACACAGACAGACACACACACACACCTGTGAGCGCATCACATTAGTGTTACACACACACACACACACACACACACACACACACCTGTGAGCGCATCACATTAGTGTTACACACACACACACACACACACACACACACACACACACACACACCTGTGAGCGCATCACATTAGTGTTACACACACACACACACACACACACACACACACACACACACACACACACACACACACACACACACACACACCTGTGAGCGCATCACATTAGTGTTACACACACACACACACACACACACTCACACACACACACACACACACACACACACACACACACACACACCTGTGAGCGCATCACATTAGTGTTCACATCACAACGCTCAGCTGCTCTACACTCACTGTAAATCACGGGTTTATTGCTTTATACTAACATGAACTAACAATGAGCAATACATTAGTTACAGTATTTATTCATCTTTGTAAAGAGAAATCCAGCTGTTCATTGTGTGTTCATGTTAGTTCACAGTGCATTAACTAATGTTAAAGCTGCAGTCCGTAGTTTTTCCTCTGTCGCCGTCTCTGTTCGAAATCTGCAATTGCAGTCATTGGCGGAGTGAGTCGTGCCTCGGCGCCGCACAGCGCGGATGAACACAGTGTTTGAGGAGAGTGTGTGTGTCAGTCGCCGCCGGTGTGTGTACTGGCGTTCGCAATCACAGATTATACTTGGAAGTATGACCAACATAAGAATTTACACCGGAAAATGTCTGAACAAGTGAGAAACATCCACTTTTGTTCTGGTTCTGACATTGCAGTAAATCGCGCTGATTAAATCTAACGATCGCTTATCATATCACGTCAAACCGAGCAAATTATACTTTGTTCTCAAAGTGTTAATGTTCAACGTCAGCATTGCGTGACGACATATAATGTCCTCCCGATATTACCCGTGCCTCCGCATGGGCCGTTTGCAGACTCTCTTCTTCTGTCGCCGCTCCGAAGTCCGAACGAAGTCTTCTGCATGTTACAGCGGGTGAGTCTCTAGTCGTCGCTGGTGATCGTCGTTTCAACCTTTCTGGATCCGCCATCACATTAATAAGTGTAATTATATCCAGTGCTGCGAGAAAAGGCTATAAATCTCCACCTCCAGCATCCTCACACTCACAGCCGACTAGCCGAGACTCTTCTGTGTGTGTACAGGTGTGTGTGAGCAGATGTGTTTGTACCGATGTGTGTGTACAGATGTGTGTGTGTACAGATGTGTGTGTGTAAAGATGTGTGTGTGCAGATGTGTGTGTGCAGATGTGTGTGTGCAGATGTGTGTGTGCAGATGTGTGTGTGCAGATGTGTGTGTGCAGATGTGTGTGTGCAGATGTGTCGTAATGACGTAAAGACATGCTCGAATCTCCCGTGGAAATCCACCAGTCCCACTGGAATTATAAACATTATTACAAGCTCACCGCTGTGAGTCGAGCTACGGCAAGCAGAGAGTGTTGAACACTGGCCGGTTATGTATTTGGTCAAAAATGTATTTTGGATAATTTTTAACCCAAAAAAGTTACGGACTGCAGCTTTAACAAATACAACCTTTGATTTTAATAACATATTAGTAAATGTTGAAATTAATATTAACTAAGATTAATAAATGCTGTAGAAGTATTGTTCATTCTTAGTTGATGTTAACTAATTAATGTTATAAAGCGTTACCAAAAAACTCTTGACACCTGCATGTACAGATCCAGTAATTTGTTGATAACTTTGCCTGCGTTTATGCTAACTGCATAAAATTTGGCACAGGTGTGTATTTTTATTGGAATTTTACTATTTCACCCCCATTTTTAAAAAAAATGTTTTTTTGCACTAGAAACACAAAATACTCCCTCTCAGCGCCTTCTGGACAAAAATGTCTGCATTGAAACCCATTAAAACTGCACTTTTTATTCCCAGGGCCATTTAACTATAAAATGATGCAATCTTAGTTAAGAGGCTTTCATTCTGTTGGCAAGGCTTCAAAATTAAATTTTTTACTATTTTTTACCAGATGGAGCCGCTTTCTCATGTTTGGCCTATAAAGAAAATACTCGCTTTATTCCTGTTTTCTGCTTCGGCATATTATAGAGCCAACTGGATAAATTATGCAGCAATAATTGTGTGTGTGTGTGTGTGTGTTTGTTGGTTGGTATGGATGTCATAGTGTGGTTTATGTGTGTAATAAAAAAAAATATGTGTGTGTTTGTAATATTCGAGAGAGAAAAACTCAACTGCAAATAACAAATCAAACCTCAGTGTGCGTTTCACTGCATCTAATGGGGAATCCGGCGCTCAAACACACTCTCACTGAACGCTCATTTTTCGAGATATCAACCTCAAATGTGGAACACAACTTGTTTAGATTTATGGCTTTGATTTTCTAGCCGTTTAAGAGTTCAACATGTTTCATAAAAAATAAAGTTTATATAAAATAATGTTCATAAATCATTTTCATTAACTTTTTTTATTTTTATTTTTTATCATTCAAATATTTATTGAGTTTTTGCATTTTATAACAAAAAACAAACAAACAAACAAACAAAAAAAACACAAACATAAACAGTGATGTTCAATGTAAATCTCTGTAAACAGCTGATGTCCAAATTACATTGTAGACATGCAGGTGCAGAAATTGTCCCATTGTTATTTCATGATTTTCATTTTCATAAACTTAATTTATATAACTTTTTTTTACTTTAGCAATAATCTGCCACGGGTCTTTCTCAAACTTAAGTCTGTGCTCCTAAGCTTCACATTTTTATGACGGACATTTTTGTCCACTATGGACCTATGTGAGACTTTTTTGAATTGATGCACAAGGGTTAATAGGTGTGTGTGTGTGTGTGTGTGTGTGTGTGTGTGTGCGATTGGCCTCTCGACTGACAGACCTGATCATATGTGCACCGTATGTGGAGAAACCCGGTTCTCAGGGACGAGTGTGTTATATAAGCTACACACTGAAGCGTTGATAACAAACAGACACACACATCCCACTGCAAACAAGCTAATGATCCACAGATGTGCGCTTGAGTAAATCGCACACACACACACACACACACACACACAGCGCTCAGTGTTTGGCTGCTGGAAGGGGCGTCTCTGAACCAAAGAAATCTTGTTTACTGTACGCTGGACACATTCGCTGAAGGTTTGACAGTTACAGTATGAAGAGATTAATCCACTGAGGCCGTGTGTGAAACTACCAGTAAACAACATTTCTAGCCTTTTACAAACACTGAAAATAACAAGCCAACCCTAAATCTTCTCTTCATTCAGAGAAACGGATCATATGATGCATTTCAACATCTATTATAAATCCTTTCCAGGTTAATGTTAACAGCTTCACGTTGATTACCATTATAATAAACCATGAGAATATCTCGAAGCACAGGAATAATTAGGTGTTGAGAGAATAAAACTACAGTACTCAAGTAAAGCTCATTATCTAAACACAAGAGGCTATTAAATAAACTCAACATGCATTAAATGATACTGAACTGAAGATATAAATGGTCTCATATCTCTGGCACACATGACATATGATTATTAAAACATCTCTTCTTTGATGATGTGGGCGGGGCTATAACCTGTCACTCACATGAGCTCAGCCAATAGCAAACCACAAGCATCCAATCAATTCCTCAGACACAATCAAGCCCCGCCCACATGTGTTCTTGTTCCAGAAGCGTTTCTCTCGATATACGACACAATAGAGGAGAAAAGACCAGCACAACTTCCCTTTCATGATGACTTTAAAGATGCATCATTCACAAAGTTTTACACATCTTCTGCCTCTACTTGCTTGTTTGTTATTAAAATATTCAGTGTAAACGGATGATGCGATAAGAGTGTAGTACACACAGGTCTAAGTAACATATTTTATCATATTAATCCAGTTTTTCCCCACAGTAAATGTGATCAAAAGTCTGCAGATGCCATCTAGTAATAATCATCTTCCAGCAGGCAAACCAGTTTATGCTGTTGGCTTCATTAATGCACAACATGTAGTGTGTATTAAACAACATGTAGTGTGTATTAAACAACATGTAGTGTGTATTAAACAACATGTAGTGTGTATTAAACAACATGTAGTGAACATGTAGTGTGTGTTAAACAACATGTAGTGTGTATTAAACAACATGTAGTGTGTATTAAACAACATGTAGTGTGTATTAAACAACATGTAGTGTGTATTAAACAACATGTAGTGTGTATTAAACAACATGTAGTGTGTATTAAACAACATGTAGTGTGTATTAAAGCTGTTTGTGAATGTAAAAGCTCTGCGAAGTTTCAAAGATAAATAGATTTTTTGTCTCCTAAACGAAAGAAGTGATTCTGAACTGAAGAGAGTCAGTAATTCAGTCTCACTTCCTGCTGTAGGTTTGTAACTCATTAGCATAATGCCCGCCTCTGGTCCTGATTGGCTGAGCAGCGTCTCTTGGCCCCGCCCTCAAACACTAGTGTATCTGAGACTGGAAGAGTTTGGTTCGTGTTGTTCGTGTCGAGAAGACGCTGTTCTCCACTGTGATGAGATTGAGACGGTGAAACCCACGCCATCGTTACTGTTCGTATCACTGTGATCAAGAGCTGAGATTCAGATATGATAATGAGCGTTCTGACCAATCAGAGCAGAGCAGCTCTCAGAGAGGCGGGGCTTAGAGAGACTGAATCCTCGACGGAAGCGTTTCAGACACTGAGAGAAAAGAGCTGATGCTGCAATAGATATTATAAGTGTTTTTGATTTTGGATGCATGTGAACGTGTTGTAGAGACTCCAAAACAAAACTAGGAGTGTTTAAAATAGCATAATAGATGCACAAATTTAGGATTTGCACCTCCTGTAACACACACACACACACACACACACACACACGTTCCGTCTCAAATGTTTAGTTCAGTGTTAATGCACTGGAAACGTTGCGTTACCTGCCGCTCGCTGGCACTGACTGCGGTTGACGTACGTGAAGTGATCGTAGCAGCTCTGAGACGCACACACACACCCGTCGACCGTCAGATTGCAGCCAGAAAACACACACTCCGGGTTCACGGGGCCCACAAACCTGTGTCTGTGTTCGTGCCGGCGAGACCCTGAGAGACAGAGAGCTTCAGGTCAAACACAGGCTACCGATGATTAATGTGCCATAGAAATTGCGTCTTACCCGAAATGTAAACTTGGTTCAATGAAATTGAAATAAATGTAGCTTTATGCTGAACATAAACGATGTGACATGACGGTTTATTTAAAGATATATCATGCACAAACCTGTTAAAACACGCAAAGAAAACGTCATGCATGTTCTTCTTCGTGAGCGGCAACTTTGGGACGCGTTTCAATTTGAACGCATTTTTATTTTATTTTGCACACTTAGAGCTGTGAAACGATTAATCACGATTAATCGCATCCAAAATAAAAGTGTGTGTTTACATAATATATATGTGTACTGTGTATAATTATTTTGTATATATAAACACACACACATGCATGAATATACATGCATGTGTGTACTTATATACAAAATAACTATACACAGTACACATATATATTATGTAAACACACACTTTTATTTTGGATGCGATTAATCGTTTCACAGCACTTGTTATAATATGCTTTAGTCAAGGGCCATACCTGTTTTCCCAGCATGCACACAGGCGTCTCTGTCGGGATAGCTGTAGGTTCTGATGCAGGAGTGTTTGGACTCACACACACACCGTCCGTCGACGCGATCACATCCGGCCACCAGGGGGCAGCGCTCGTCCTCCTTGTCTGAGTCCATCGCATCGGGTATCACTGTCGAGAAGAAGACAAGTGTCATCTCGGTGTGTCGTGAGATTTGTTTGCTTACGTTCCAATGAATGGCACCAAAATGAGACACTGAAAAATCTTACTTTTTTTTTATTTTTAATTATGTTTATATTGTGAATAATATTTTACTTCATTGGAATGGTACAAAACTTGGTAAAGGTTTTGGCACTTGCTGTGTGAACACGAAAAAAAAGGCAAAATGGTCCTGTAAAAAATAGACACTTAAATAGTGCCCCTCGTGGTCAAAAATGAGTGCATTGGAAATGAATGGGAGACGATTTTCCTCTAGTGGAAGCGTTTGGTACTGCAGCCGAACACACTCTCACTGAACGCTCATTTTTCGAGATATCAGGCTCAAATTTTTAACAACTTGTTTAGATTTAATGCTTTGATTTTCTCTCAGTTTTAGAGTAAAACATGATTTTGAAAATATATATTTCATATAAAAATTGAAAATAGTATGTGCGCACATTTTTCGTAACAATAAAATTAAAATTACAGTAAAATTCTGTAACTTTTCTAAATTTCACTTTTTAAAATGTTTTTCACTTTCAGCAATAATCTGCCCAGTGTCGTCTTTGAAAAGAGATCAAACTTCAGTCTGTCGCTCTAAAGCACTCAAGATTTACCACAGTTTAAGTGGGAAATTTCACTTTCAGGTCTATGCTCAAAAAGTGAATAAATGGATTATAAATACAGCGTAAATATAATTTAATACCATAAAATCCCCTAAAAATATTATTTATCCAATATCACACTAAAATATAGTACATTTATTTAATTGAAATAAAAAAAATAATTTCGGTCATTTTTGACCCACACGTAAGGAGCACTAGAGGGTTAAACAGTGGCATGTCTGGAAAGATCTGTTTAATGTCTCAAATGCTTCTCCTAGACAGCAATGAGACTGAAATAATCTCACTGAGAACAAACCTGACACTTGAAATGAGAACTTCACTCTAAAAGAGAAACCTCTGAGAATAGAATTACCCCATTTGTACACTAGAAACAGCTTGAAGCCACGTCCACACTAATACGTCTTCGTTTGAAAACGCATCTTTTTCTCTCCGCTTTGGCGTTACGTTCACACTGAGAATGAATGAAAACAAATCTTTTTGAAAACGCTCTCCAAAGTGGATAAATTTGAAAACGCCGCTTTCGCATTGTAGTGTGGACTGTGAAAACGGAGGTATTTAAAAACGATGATGTAAGTTTAGTCATGTGACGCGTATTGTACCAATAGATATTGATGTTTATAGCGGTGTTGTGCCTGTGATGAGCTGTTCACTTTCACACTGTTGCTCAAATGTGTTTCTTCACACACTCTTCATAACACAGTCCTGCACAGAATTTACTCACATCTGCTGTCCTGCGATTAAACATGAGAGCAGTTTTAGACCAAACATATAATAGTGAGTGAGTGAGACCTGGACCATCAGGAGATATTTTATCCAGTCAGTTCATTCAGGCGTTTTCCAACAGTTTCTCATCCACACTGAAACATCAGGAAACGCTAGTGTGGACGGAAGAGCGTTTTTAAACGAAGACACCGTTTACAAATGTATCCGGATGAATGTAGACGTAGTCTTTTTGAGTCTCACTGGCCTTCACATGCATCTGTGTGTTTTCCTCTTCCAGCCGCATGTGTGTTGAATAAGTCTGGAGTATCGCATCAGGTTCTCCTGAAGACCCCCCAGCCCGACACATGTGAATAAACAAAGACAAACGGCTTCGGCGGCTCCTAATGTCCCCCGTGATGCTCTCCTGGGGCTTGGCTCACAAACTCACCAAACAAACCAGAAGAAACTGCTCAGGACACGTAACAGCCCAGCTCACAAAAACGTGTTCCACCAATGTTCTAACATTCCCTTTTTCTCAATGTTCTCGGAACGTTCAAAAGGTCAGAGCGTTTCTTCTTGGTTATGCGAACATTCCGTTTCATCATTCTCTCAACTCTGTGGGAATGTTACATTTGAATGTACATTCTGAAACAAAGTAGCAGCGTTTAAAGTCCCCCTGTGGTGAAAAACACGCTTTTAAATGTAGTTTATGTGTCTATGTGGTGTTTTTAATACGCTTTAAGACACACCATGTGTAAGTTCATAAGTCGACAGCATTGCTGAGTATTTCCTCCTTAAAACTGCAGTGAACCAAAGACAGTCTCAAAAACACGGTTTGAAATCGCTGGTGTTTCTGACGTCACAAACGACCTTGTAACCAATCAGATCAACGTGTGATCGTCAACCAGTGGATCTCTGAGCTGAGTGAGTGAGTGGAGGCGGGGCTCATTTGCATATTCATAGAACCACGCATACTAAATGAGGGAAGGGTGTCGAGTTACATTCAAGATATTTAAAGGCATGAAGACTTTTTTCAAGGAAGAAACGTTTAAATGTGTCATTTTGGTGATCAGAGATGAGTTTTAAGGGATAAAATGATTAAAACTGCAGTCTCTAGCAACAGTTGCCAGCATGCTTTGAGATTAGGGGAGTGAGGTTTACACGAGTGTTGCCAGATCTTGCTATAAAAACAGCGACCAAGAACAAGCCTACAATAAACCCAAATAAATCCAAATGCTTTATTTCGAAAATAAGACCCGCACCTGCTCACTTTAATACCTCGAGTCATCACTATAGTAAACTCGATTGCTTTATGAGCCAAGCTTAAACAACAAGCCCAAAAATGCTTATAATAAGTGGACATATGAATGTGAGAGTCATGTGGAACACGATGTCAATCATCAGTTTCGGGAGTGTATTTAATGTGGTTGTCACTCCTGAAACTTTACAGTGTGTACGTGCATGGCAGATAAATGTTACTGGAAGAACATTTGTTCATAACTTTGACAGAACGTTCCCTGTTTGCTGGGAGAGATGTGCTTCTATTCTACGATTCAGTTAAATATCTATTTTACTTTGATAAAATAAAATCAAATTCTGTATCAAAATGTATAGGCAAGACAAGTAGTTTGTTTAGGCATGGTTTGTAGGGAATTATGCACATATATTCAAACGCACATAACTATAGAATCAGTTCTTAATGCGCATGCGAACGCCATCAGCGTTTATCACAGGTTCAGTTTAAAGTTTGTTTAGAGAGAACGGCGTCGTCTTAGCGGCCCCTAATCTAATAACAAATGATCATTTCGACGGAAGTGAATCAATCAAAACTCACTTTAGCTGGAAAATAACATTATTCAAGAACCGCTATAAAACCAAACCAATCTCTGTTACCTTAAATTATATTAAGTTTATCTCTGTAAAGCTGCTTTGAAACAATCTACATTGTTAAAAGCGCTATATAAATGAGGATGACTTGACTACGATTCCTGAGATGAAATATAAAAACAGACACCGAGTGAGAGGATATGTGGACACTGAGATCTCTGAGCTGCTGGAAAGGCTTCCTAAAAGCACAAAACATTGAAGTTTTTGCTCTCCCACTGATCTCATTGCTGGAGAAACAAAAGTTTTTTTTTGAGGCCTAAATCGACCAGTCCTGGTTAGTACAGTAACCGCATTCTTAGACATGACAGCACTGAAAGCAAAGCATGCAGATATTGGTGCATTTGGCACAGAAACGTCCCGTTTGTGGAAAACCACGTGGCGGTTGTTCTCACACACACATCGCCATCACAAACAGGCTTTTCAAACCAGGATCAGATGGTCCTGCCAAAACTTTCCCTATTATTTCCGGTCACCTCGGAATGATCCGCTCCGCCAACGTCTTTCCATATCAACACTTCCTGCGAGGATATTTTCATATTTTCACACGACCCCGATTGCTTTTTGTAGCGTGCGCCCACAGAGCACATCTGTTCACGTCTGCGGATCGGACACCGGTTCTGTTCATCAGCACAGGTTTTCCAAACAGAGCCAACTATAGAAAATCCAGCAGGATCCATAAACATGGGGAATGTTCCAATTCAAAAGTCTAATTTATAATTATTTGACAACTTGGACAATATAATCCTCATAGTAAGTGTAAAAAGTTCTAGAAATGGCATTATGGCAAAACTACAATATTTTCCCCCCGGGAAACGTACTTGTTACACACAGACTATAGTCTGTAATAAAAACAGTCTGGTCTAGAGCTGCTATCTAAAGTCCACATGATAACTAGTTTAATCAGTTTGCAAACATGTTACGTCCTTCTCAGTGTTGCCGTTTCTCTTATAATTGTTGCGGGTCAAATGAGGGAAGCTGATATTTAATCTCACAAACTGAAGGACATGGAGGCGTTTTGTCTTGGCGTTCGGAAAGAGAGAGGAGACGGTTGGCATCAGGGACTGAGCTCCGGCTGATAGCGACACACACTGACGAGGAAAACGTCTGATAGTCGACACTAAACGAGTGTTCTGGCGGCGATCGACTGCTGTTAAAGCTTCATACTGGACTGAGTGTTTTGGGAAACCTGTTAGATAACAGGCATTATTCTGTTTGGAGACTCTAGTCCTACAGAAAAAACAATATGAAACCTTCCTTTTACAGTACAGTACTTTTACAGTGTATTTACCTATAAAGTACTGGCTAATATAAGGTAAGATAAGGGGTAGGTTCAGGGTTAGTACCTAGTTATTACCCAGTAATATAATAAGTACATAGTAAGTACATGGGTAACAGGACTGTAAAAGGAAGCGTTACCTACAATTTTGGCCGATACGATAACCGATAATTCTTTATATTTGAAAGCCGATAACCGATATATTGGCTGATAAATGTAAATACAAATTGTATATAATTTTTGAGAGCCTGATTACAAAAACACAATTCTCACCATTTAAAATCCACGTCCCAAAAACACAATAATATTCTCATGTAGCCGATATGACAGACTTGCTGCACATGTTGCACTTTACTGTATTTTCCCTTTGGAAGTGATTTCAATCATATTTCAAGCTGTTTAAAAGCATCATGTTGATCAGTGCACATCTAAAGAGTCTCAGCTGAAGGAAATAATACATTATTTTTTGCTTTTATATATCGGCCATTTTCTTATCGGGGCCAATAACATAAAAAATGAACATATATCGTTGATACCGATATTATGGTGGCCCATATATCGTGCATCCCTATTTTAAATATGCTGTACTGATGATGTAGAAGTGGCTAATTAGCATTTATGCAGGTTTTTGTTTGTAGAGCAAAATAAACGAAGCCCTGCAGAAATGTAGCACTCTTTATTTTCCATAAATGCAGTACAAATGTTCTCACACTATTCAAAATTAAGTAAAATGTAGCAATCTTCTTTTGGGTCAGGGACCTTTCAGTGGTCAGTTCTTAAAATAGCCATTTTTTTTAGTGTTAAGAACATTTACATTTTCTAAATAACCTTTAAAGGTTCTATGGATGTTGAAGATGCCAGTAATAATGAGTGCAGGAGAACAATGCAACTCGATGAATCCCAAAAAAGACAGATATACAATATTCAACAAGCTCTTTTCACTTCCACATCTTCTATACGCCTTCAGCCACGTCTGAATATAAATAACCTCATTAATTTATTTGCTAATGGAGGGGAGGGGGGTAATTATAATTAATGATGACAATCATGAATAATGTATTACTATGATAAAGAGATGCTGCTTAATCAGTGGCTGGAAAACGACTATCATTATTTAAACTCAATTTTTTGACATGCTCATATTTTCTTTGTTTGCGCTCCCTAAACTTCCACACTAAACACACGGAGAAGAACTTAAAATCAGCAGTAAAATGACTTTCAGGCTTTATACTCTAATTGTTGGATTGAGAGACAAACTCAATCACTGCATCTGTTGAACCAGACTCATTCATGCGCTCCGGGTCGGGATTAACCCTTAACACTCACTGGTAAATAAAGCCTAATCAAGGACACGATCCCTTGGGATGCATCCCAGACCCCACAGGAGGAAGATGAAGACGAGGGGTAATTGAGCTCCAGAACCTTCCCACAGACTCGCTTCTGCTTTCGCTCAGCCGTCTGGAGCAACTCAAGTGTTTAGACACAGAGAAAGTCCAGCTCCGGTCAGGCATTATGACCCTTTCCGTACTAAACTCTTGGAAAAGAGCCTAATATCACATCATAGATCAAATCCCAGGACACGGAGTCGATCATCCCCTGCAGTTTCATCAGCGTCATTATTACAGTACGAACTGAATGACATTTTAGACTGGTTTCATTCTGAGAAAATCTTATGAATAACTTGTTCTTGATTATCAGACAATTTGGACATTATAAACCTCATAGTAAAATGGGAATCAAAATAAGTGTAACTTTCTCTCCACTCAGTAAAAAGTACTAAAAAGTACAGTATTATCAATGGTCTTTTGGACATGTACAGTACCATGGAAATACTATACTGTACTATTTGGACATGTTACTATGGCAATACCATGTTTCTGGACATTTGCCATGGCAATACTATAGTATTTTAGACATGGTACTATAGCAATACCATGTTTTTAGACATGTACCATGGCAATACTAGTCTTTTAGACATGTTACTATGGCAATACCATGTTTCTGGACATTTGCCATGGCAATACTATAGTATTTTAGACATGGTACTATAGCAATACCATGTTTTTAGACATGTACCATGGCAATACTAGTCTTTTAGACATGTTACTATGGCAATACCATGTTTCTGGACATTTGCCATGGCAATACTATAGTATTTTGGACATGTTACTATGGCAATGCCATGTTTTTAAACATTTGCCATGGCAATATAGTATTTTAGACATGGTACTATGGCAATACCATGTTTTTAGACATGTACCATGGCAATACTATAGTCTTTTGGACATGGTACTATAGCAATACCATGTTTTTTTGACATTTACCATGGCAATTCTATAGTATTTTGAACATGATACTATGGCAACACCATGTATTTTGGACATTTACCGTGGCAATACTATAGTACTTGGACATGGTACTATGGCGATAGCATGTTTTTAGACATTTAGCATGGTAAATGTCAAAGTAAGTGAAAGTTTTTCAAAGTATCTATCTTGGAGTATCGTGCTGTTATACGTATCAATCAGAACCATATCAAAGTACCATGGTATTAAAATCACTTTACCATGGCACTGTCACAGCAGCCATCTCAGTACAGAACTACCTTCAAAAATCTAAATCAATATCAATAACCATATCAATCAATCAATCATGAGCTGATGCACAAGAGAAAAATACGGTAACACTTTACAATAAGGTTCATTAGTGAACTACCTTAGTTAACATGAACTAAGAATGAACTATAATTCTACAGCATTTATTAATCTTAGTTAATAGTAATGTCAACATTTACTAATACATTAAATCAAAGGTTGTATTTGTTAACATTACTTAATGAACTAACATGAACAAACAATGAACAGTTGTATTTTTATAACATTAACAAAGATTATTAAATCCTCTAACAAATGTATTGCTCATTGTTAGTTCATGTAAGTTAACACATTAACTATTGAATGTTATTGTAAAGTGTTATATAAAAATAAAAAACTTCTCACTGATCATCTAAATCCACAATCATACTCTTCCTCATCTTCATCATCCTCATCAGGTGAGGTCTTTTATACTGTATACACATGCATTGAGTGTCATGTTGAAGGTAAAGCTCGTGCGCGTCACTGACCTCTGCAGACACCTGTCTCAGGTACGAGCGCGGGTCCGGTTCTGTTGCGCGCGGCACAGGTGAGTCCAGATCCGCAGTAACCCAGAGTCCAGTCCGGTCCCCCACACAGCTCGAGCTCCAGCCGAGAGCACTGGTCACAGCACCCGCACGGGTCACGGGCCAGAACCCGGCCAGAACCACACCCGAGCGCGCTCAGGGGCGGGCACGAGCGGAGCGCGCACGGTGCGCATTCACGAGCCCCGAACGCCAGAGCGCAGAACCCAAACACACTCAAAAAGCACAACACATTCTTTTGACACATTGTGACGCGTTTTGGTGAAGTTTACAGAGTCTCGAGCGTCTCAAACATGAACCTCCAGATGCGCAACTCCAAAATAAATCCAGAAATGTTCAACAAACTTTCAGTGTTGTGATCCTCGCTGAGAATGATACAAGTTTCCAGTAAGTGAAAAGTGTTCGTAAAGCTCGTACAGTAACTGTGAGATGATGAGGATGATGAGTCTGTCCTTGTCACTGACTCACTAACACTCAAACTGAGTCTCAAACACGCGTTACACGGAGAGAGACATCATAGCCACGCCCCCTGCTGATGATCGCCGTGGAGCTCGTCCAATCACAAGCAGCGAAAGGAACAGATGGATGAATGAATGAAGCAACAGTTCTTATACCTATCTAGGGAACATAATGCATGGGATACAGAAAGAGGAATGAAGATGATGTGAACTTCATGAATGCGAAATCGACATCCTCTGATTTATGAGGCTCGAAGCAAAGTTCTGGTTTCATCTCCTCTCCTCCATGAGAGAAAGTCCAGGTCCGTTTCTCATGTGAAATCTGTCTGAACAAACACTGGGATATTCATTCATCCATGTCTCTTGCTGATCTGTGACCTGTTTGGTCTGGTCCTGACACATTATGCATCTCTTCACACTCCTCCTTCCCGTCTCACTCCCTCTGTCTGTCTGTCTCTGTGCGTGCATTTCTTCTTTGTTAATGTTGATTATAATCACTGTTAATCAGGTCTGGTGCTCTCTTCAGATTTCAAGTTCTTGTTTTAAAATAAATGATATTGCTCAGTCAATGCTCACTTAAATAGCACAATCCAGTCCTGTGCAACCTCACCAAAATAACAGTGAGCCTCAATATAAAAGTAAGTTTCGGCATTAAACTGAACATCCACCATACCTATTTTCTAAATTCATGTTATATTTATAGGCTAATATACATTACCGTGAACAATTCATCCGTGCATACGTTTCAGTTTGTAATGTTTAATCCAGTGAAACGTCAATCACAAGTGACAAGTGTTTATAAGCCCTGCCCCTGCGAGAGTGCCACGCCCACATCTCAACATCCAATCAACAACTGATGCATAGAACCAAGCCCCGCCCTACTTTTTCATTTTCAATAATCCATTACACTCAGATGTACATCACTATATATGGGAGAAAAGATAGTGAGTTCAGACACAAGTCTACTTCTGAGATTTATGGCCAGAAATTGAGTGTTTATTTACTAAACTGAAATCATTCTACAGAATTATATCCTTCAAAAGCAGTGTTGGGGGAAACGCATTACAAGTAACTTGAGTTACGTAATCAGATTACTAGTAAAGTAACACATTACTTTCTCAATTTACAACAAAATATCTAAGTTACTTTTTCAAATAAGTAACGCTAGTTACTGTTTCACATTTATTGACTGACAGCTCTCCTGTCCTCATGTTAAGAGAGAATAAAAGTAAGGAGATGTTTTGTGAGTGTGTGTGTGTGTGTGTGTGTGTGTGTGCTCTGTAAACATGATGGTTATTTTAGTTCTAGACTAAATGTGAGCATGCATTTACTCGTCTCACTTACACGAAAACATTCAGTATTCCTCAAAATGAATAAAAACAGTAAAATATATGTCAGACAATCTCAGAATTTTACGCAAAATTTTTACAATAACTATACTAAATTACACAAATATGTATTTAATCTCACTTTATTAACCAATGTCTTTGCTGCTGACCTTCAATGATCTAATTCAACCATACTAATAGGGGGAAAAAAAGACTTTAGATTAGATTTAGAAATAAGAGTGTTGGACTTATTCTCTTGTACTTTAGTAAATCTGCATTTCCTTCAGCCTGAGGATTATTTATTTCACTTTTGGTGTGAAAGGACCTTTACATTTGCCAAAAATAGATTTTTTTGTTGTTGTTATTAAAAACAAACAAGCCAGTCCCGCTTTGTTGAGAAAAAGAAACGCAAAACAACGCATTACTTTTCATAAAAAGTAACTAAGTAATGCAATTAGTTACGTTTTTTTGGGGAGTAACGCAATATTGCAATGCATTACTTTTAAAAGTAACTTCCCCAACACTGCTGAAAGGTTACAGTGGTTTTGACGTCGTTCTCGGCCTCAGGATCAAGTCGAGACACGCGTGTCCAGCCGCTCCCTCTCGTCTCGGTGATCTCCGGATTCTTTCACCTGTTTTATGACCCAGCAGGTGAAAATGCTGCATGTGTTCACTCAGAAACCCAGCAAAATATCCGTCATTTCAGCGCCTCGGTGAACTATAGACCCGATGTAGTCCGGCTATGAGGAACACACTTTAAATTTTTTAATTTTTTTTTATTTATTACAGGGACAGTGCATATTAATAAACATTTCTGTAAATATGCCAGAATTAGCCAAAAGGCTATTTTTCATAGACAGATGGTAAAAAGTCACCCTAAAAGAGAGTAAAATTACATATTTGCATAACAATATAAAAATTACAATACATTTAGTTAGAAATACTATTATGTTAAAATATACGATCGAAACGCAGCAAACCTACAATCAAACCAACATCAGATAAAAAATAACACATACCCACACACACACACACACACACACACACACACACAAGGCAAGCACTTCTGGACTAAATAACCTTGAATTTGGTTAAATGTCGTTTTTGCCAAAATATCTTGCGAGATGTGTGATATTCCATCATGTAAGCAAAGTAAACAAGACGTTTGGTTTCATTTCTTTGTTATCTAATTGATGTCTAGTGTATTCTTGGCCTCTGGTTTAGACGTCTATTAAACTTTCTCTGACAGCCGTGGTTTAGCCTAGACGTCTGGGCTGTGTTTGGACGGATATTAGACGTCTTTTAAACGCAAAATTGCTTGCTGGGAAAGTAGCAGCACAAAAGACACATGACTCGAGGAATCATTCCTTTCTCACTCGACTTCACATTTACATTTTTTCATTTAGCAGACGCTTTTATCCAAAATGAGAACAATAAGCAGTGAAACTAACAACAGGACAACAATACGCAAGTGCTGTGACCCTTCCCAGTTTAGTCTAACGCAGTACATGTACTTTTATTTATTTTTATAAATAGAATAGAATAGAAAGTGTTAGTATTAATGGATCAAGTGTTGCCTTTAACACAAGCGGTTTGATGAGCACTAGTACTAGCTGACTTCAGCACTAAAATGTGTAAATGTAGAATGCATTTATTTCCAGCAACCTGCAGTTTTAGCTTAACTATAGTAATTATAATAGTTATTCCTCCACAAAAGGCTGCTGTGCCGTCTGACCCCGTGACCTTTGACACATAGGTGGAAACCTGACCTGCATCATCAGAGGAGAGGTCAGAGGTCGTGGTCTGTGTGTGACTGATGACTCTATCGCTCCGGATAACGGCAGGTTGGACATGCGCAGGAGAAGAGGTTTGACATGTCGGTGACGTGTGTGTCCTGCGCTCGATGTGAAGTGCTGCTCAACTCTCACTCATATAGCTCAATCCTTCACCTTATCTCATGAAGAGCTGAGGTCCTGCCGCACTTCCTCCACATCACGACACACATTAAACCTAGAGAGAGTGTCATGGACAAGATGCAGGATTATGGACACGACAGAGCTGTGCTTTTAGAATACTTTAAATGTTCAGATTCCCAGGGAATGTTCTCGGTACGTTCTCTCAAAGTTATGAACAAACGCTCTTCCAGTAACATTCACAGTACGCTCGTTCAAAAGCTCGTTAATAATGTTCTCAAATCTTTACGTCATTCATGAAAGTTTTTCTGAAACTTTTTAGTTCGTCTAATGTTTTTAAATGTTTCCGAGAACGTTCAAAAGTAACGTAATGACACAATGGAATGTTCCTTTAACGTTCAGATAACCAGGAAAAAACGTATTTTCAAGAAAGACCTGGTCCACTAGATTTGGTCATTTTGCATTTACAATCCAATTTTGTGGGAAAACATTTCGGAGTCTGATCGAATCAAGATCGATTTTCACAGATTGTCTTTCTGGATCATTCAACACACACACACACACACACACAGCTTTGTTTTTGTGATATATGAGGACATTCCATAGGCGTAATGACTTTTATACTGGACAAACTGTATATTCTATCCCCCTACACTGCCCCTATCCCTAAACCTGCCCATCACACACACACACACACACTGCCCCTATCCCTAAACCTACCCATCACAGGAGACATGCTGCATTTTTACATTTAAAAAAAAACATTGTTTTTTATGTTTTTTAAGCTATTTGAAATATGAGGACTCATGCAATGTCCTCATATATCACGTGTAAGTTGTAATACCAGTGTAATATGCATGTCATTATACACATTTGTGTCCTCATATATCACAAAAACAAACACACACACACACACACACACACACACACACACACACACACACACACACACACACACACACACACACACACACACACACACACACACTAATAGACACATTCATTCACACACACACACACACACACACACACACACACACACACACTAATAGACACATTCACACACACACACACACACACACAAACACACACGCACACACGCACACACTAATAGAGACATTCACACACACACACACACACACACACACACACACACACACACACACACACACACACACACACACACACACACTAATAGACACATTCACACACACACACACACAAACACACACGCACACACGCACACACTAATAGACACATTCACACACACACACACACACACACACACACACACACACTAATAGACACATTCACACACACACACACACACACTAATAGACACATTCACACACACACACACACTAATAGACATTCACACACACACACACACACACACACACTAATAGACACATTCACACACACACACACACACACACACACACACACACACACACATACGCACACACACTAATAGACACATTCACACATTCACACACACACACACACACACACACACACACACACACACACACACACACACACACACACACACACACACACACACACACACACACACTCACACACACACACTAGCACGTTGCACTATGGGATACAGTATTTCATTCAGTGTGCTTTGTTTATTTACACACTGCAAAGTGTAATAACCTGCTATTGTTATCTTAAAACGCTATTTACAACCCATAAAAAATAGTTTTGTTGGTATAAATGATGTATTTAGGTTTATTCCGTGAGGTTAAAAAAT